GTTTTTATTTATTTTCGAGACAGAGAGAGACAGAGCATGAACGGTGGAGGGGCAGAGAGAGAGGGAGACACAGAATTGGAAGCAGGCTCCAGGCTCCGAGCCATCAGCCCAGAGGCCAACACGGGGCTCGAACTCACGGACCACGAGATCGTGACCTGAGCTGAAGTCGGACGCTTAACCGACTGAGCCACCCAGGCGCCCCCGTATAAAGTTTTTAAACGTCGAGCCCTAAGCCTTCAAAACTGCAACTTTGGTTTCAAACATGAAAGTTCACAGGAACTTTAAAAATTTGTAATACTTGGGGTGCCTCAGTGGCTCAGTCAGTTAAGCATCTGACTCTTGGTTTCAGCTCAAGTCATGATCTCACGGCTTGTGAGTTCCAGCCCCACGTCGGGTTATGAACTGACAGTGCGGAGCCTGCTTTGGATTCTCTCTCTCCCCTTCTTTCCTTGCCCCTCCCCCACTCGTGCTGCCTCTGTCTCTCTCAAAATAAATAAATACACTTAAGAACTGTGTTAATACTTAATTTCAAGATCTATAGAAAAGTAATGAGCTATGCTTAGCACGACTTTTCTGATTCCACTTTAAGTTAGAGAAGAAATCGAAATTGTTACACGAATAAATGCGATCTGTACATATCTAGAAAGTAAGGAAAGTGGCTGCTTTGCTTATGCCTGAGACCTTAATCATACAGACTTTGTGTTGAGGCCAAAACGAATAAGGACAAGAGTCATGGTCAATTTTGAATCTTTTTTCCCTCTGGGCCAGGCATCAGGCTCTGAGTCAAACTGTGCTTCCTTCAGTAGAACCTCTCGGCATTCTGGAAACATCACTCACCTGAGCTTGCCATGTTCTCCAATAGCCCCCAGCTCCTCTGAAGGTCGGAACCCCACTCTCAGCACTAACACCAGCCCCCGAAATGATGACTATGTGCTTTGCTTTTGCAAAGAACTTCCGAAAATCAGCCATACCTAAAGAGAGCATAAAATCTTTATAAATCCACCGTACCGTTTGGACATTTATATTCTGTATCAATCGTTCATATTTTGACTTGACCTTGCGTGAAATTATATTTTAGGATACCCAAATAAAAATCATTCCGATGCCACGAAGATGCCACCCGTGTGGCCTGATGTGAGACCGTATAGCGTCTTAAGAAAGAAGCAGGGGGGCGCCTGGGTGGCGCAGTTGGTTAAGCGTCCGACTTCAGCCAGGTCACGATCTCACGGTCC